CCCCAAAACCCCAAAACCCCAAAACCCCATACAACTAGGATATAATAAATTCTGGGTTTCTCAAAATTAATTTTTTAATAATATCAATGGGAAATTGTGCATAGCCAGCTTAAAATTAAGACGATGGTCTAAAGTAATTGCGAGATTAAAGTATTGCAAATGGAAAACCAGAAAAAACTCCAATAGACTTAAAACTTCAAGAATTAATGGATCTACAACTAAAGTCTGGAATATTTCTTGAACTATATTTATATACAAAGGTACCTATAAAAGGTCTGTACTCTCTCACTTATAAAATTGACTATGGCCGTACTCAGTCAAAGTGGACAGAATAAATATAAAATCCAGTATTCAAGAGCTGAGGTTTAACACTTGAATACACGTATGGTTAAAGCAAGCAAGAAGTAATTCTAATATAGCAAAAATTTAACATTTAAATAGGTTGTGGTAGAAATATTAGCTAATCCTTCTGAAGTGGCTAAAGTCAAAAGGTCATTCAACCAATAAATTCCAGCTAATATGCTAAAAGTATAAGTGGCATTTGACCTTCATCAATCATTCTAATAAAATGTCCCTGTTACACCTAGCAGAATAATTCATGAATCAATGTAATCATCAATCTTGTATAAAATTCATATACTAGAAACTTTGAAGACATTGATATTAGACTCCTTGTCAAAGAAAAGAAACTTGATAAACTACAAAAGATCAGATTTTAATCAGTATTGAGACCTAAATAGATGAAGGCTTTGATGAATAGTCATCTGTCAATGAGAATATATGAATATTAGTTTGAATCAAAGAGGCTTATTTAAGATATTTCAGAGGAGGCTACTTTAGACGATAAAGGATAATTTTATAAGTTTCCTGGCATTTAATTTACAACAGATATTCTAGATGAAGGACCAGCAATTAATAAAACTATTGTCATATAAGTAGTTGAAAGGTATACAGAAATAGTTAAAAAGACGAGAGAATTTGTAAAGAAAGAAAGATTATTCGGAGAAATCAAAATAAGACTAAGAGAAATGTTCGAGAGAGGAAGATGCAGTTCGTTCGTTTTAAATCTAGTTGATGAAAAAGAAAAAATAAAAGGAGAATTAGAAATGAGACACTGCTCTTTAAGAAATTTTCATACATTCTTAGATCTTCATATTAAAAACGGTTTAAATCTAGTTCCTATTATCGCTGTTGATTTCTCTCTAGCTAATCTGACTTTTGATGAGAACTAATATTGCATTCATACACTCAAATAAGGGGCTCCAAATGACTATATTGTAGGATTAAGAAGAATAGGAAGATGTTTTAAGTATTTTTCTAAGTTTATGCTATCTTATGGATTTGGGGCTAGAACAGTACAAGCAGGAGATACTCCTGCATGTAACCTATTCGCAATGACAGGTGATATTTTGGATCCATTTGTTTAGGATGATGAGGAGTTACTTAATAGCTACGTAGGCACAATAAAATCAGTTTAATTAGCACTCCCTGTGTGCTTTAAAGACATTTTAAAATTAGTTTGTGATATAGCTTAAATGGAGTATGGAACTGCAAGTGATATAAAATAGATTAAGAATTATTATGTTTTGACTATTCTCATGGCAGGAGTTATAGATGATTTTGAAGATTCATTGAATCAGATTTTAAGAGCTGCTCACTTACCTGTATCAGTTATTGTAATTAAAGTTGGAGCAGTTTCTGAGGAAAACGATTCAACTAATCTAATGAGTTTAGCTTCTAAGGCCTTCCAAGAATGTGAAAGAAAGTTTATTGACATTTTAAGTTTTGAAAACTATAAAAGAAAGGGAGAAACAACATAAATGCTTGGGTAAGTATTTGAGTATGATTTGATAAAAAACATTCCCAAATAAGTTGAAAAGTTCTTTGAATTACAGTAATTTGATCTAGAAGCCCAGTTAGAAACTTCAATAACTTAGGGGATTGAAACATAAGTATCTACTGGAAGAAAAGGTTCTGGAGGAGGTTAAACATAATCGAACAATACACTTACTGAACATTAAGATTCATCATAATCTTCAGGCCTATAATCTGCAAAGTTCTTGGATGAGCTTCAAAATCTTGAAAATTAAACCTTTGTGATGGAAGAGGGAAAAGAGGATGAGCCTAAAAGAGTAAGCAGTAGTCCTATGATTATCTAGATAAACAGTGGCTAATGTGGGACAATAGAAAATTATGATTATACTAAAAACATCAAGCTTTATGTTGAACAAGAGAAGTTAAGATTAATATGCAATGCCTCAAAAATAGGAATAACAGAGGATTAAATTGAAAAATATTTATAAACCTCGAACATAAATGATTTCTTCATTGAAAATCTAAAGGTAAGGCTTGGCATAAAAGATAAAAAGCCTGAGAGAATAAAAAAACCAGTGAATCAATAGAAATAATAGTAGAGTCCTGTTCAGTAAGATTTAGAAAACACAGTTATCGCTTAGTAAAATGCTATGGTCCAAGAATAAAGTCAAGAAGTTATAAAAGAGGATCCTGAGAAGGAAGATCCCATTGATTAAATAGACTCTAATTAAACCGATCAAATTTAGCAATAAATTGAGTCTTGAGTATAAAAACTAACTTGCATTTATTATCAATAATAAATTATCTATTTTCAATTCGCTACTTTAACAAATGGGGTTTTGGGGTTTTGGGG